TTATAACATGATTCCTTAATGAAAATTCTGGAAAGTTGGTATAAATAGTTTATTTACTTAAATCATTGCTGCCTAAACCAGTACTGAGGTTAGGGCTTTTACAGAGATACCATATTAGTTTATTTATTAAAATACCTTCTTAGGCATCACCTGGGAAAATATATTTATTTTATAAAATAGAGTATGCATAATTTCTAGTATATGAACTGTACATATATATATATACATATATACTGGTATATATGAATATATATATATATTATTTGGGCAGAGTTACTCTAATGAAAAAAATAAATATTAGTCTAAATATTTGATATTTAATCTTAATCATATATAATTTATAAAAGAAATATCTCTTCTGAGAACTTTGCTTTTAATAAAATAATCAAATATAATTTTTAAATATATTATTTTGTGTTTCAATTTTACATTGTATTTTCATTTAATTTTAATAATTTCCTTTTCTTGTACTTTTTTGATCTGTTGTCTGTTTTGTCTAATGCATGTCCAGGGTTCTAAGGTTAGTATTACTTCAGTAATTTTCAGGTTTTCAGTTTTAAGTTTTATTTTTGCTTATTTATGAAATTTTTGACTTGGTTGTATTTTGAGTTTCCATACCATCTTTAATATTAGACATATCTTTGATATATTTAAAAGATTCATTAAAAGGATTTTTTTCTATGCATTGATTAACTACTATCTTATGACCCACAATAACCTTTAGACTAAACTATTATAATGAAAACAAATTTCAGTCATATGTACAATCAGATGTTAATTGGTTCCGTTGAAAGGAGATTGGATGGAATATATGTTATTTTAAGATTCAATAATAATCATGTGAGTGATCTTTATTATTAAATATATGTTATAATGTTTATATAACATTTCATCAAAGTCACTAATTATATAGATTTAATAAGAACTCCCTTTCTGGTTATTTGTGTTAAGAATGATTTTTATTTTAAAATTTTATTTGGTTAGGTCAAAAATATAATTTTGCAAATTACATGGATGATAAAATTTTGTTTATAATTTCTGTATGTAATTCAGTCTTAAAAATGAAAGCATGTTTTGAAAGCTAGGCTTAGTAGACCAGGAAAGCATGAAAATAAGACCATTAACTAATAATAATGAGTTAGATTTCTTATAATTTCAGTAATTCAAAATGATGAATTTCTTTGAGAATCCATCTATAGATGTCCTAGAATCCTAATATTTTTGAAAATTTATTTAGAATAGTTGATAGACCTAAGCAATGGCCAGATCTTCCATTCCATATTGAAACACATTAACTGAGATTTAAAATGGGTCTTATGTGAAATTATTACTTTTTTTTTCACTTTTATTATAAACTATTGTATTGTGATCTCAGATTTTTAATTCCTGCTGTGAAATAATACTGTATATCAATGAAGTGCTAGGAAATACGGGATCTGTATTTAGGAAATCCAAGTAATCAATTATTTCTTTACACCGTGGATACTGAGTTGACACAATGTAAATCAAGTTGAAAAAAATTTTTGTCTATTTTCTAGCTCATTTTAGAGAGAATGGTTTTAGAACTATTTTGCTGTTAAATGGAAGGAAGAAAGGTTGTTACATTTTATACTCCATTTAGAATCAACTTTAGTTATGTAGTGCTTGCAGTAGTCACCTATCATTTTTATTACCCATCTTGTGCACAAGAAGTGTTTTAAGATGTTTTGTTTTTTTTTTTTTCCAATCAGTGTTTCCTGCTGACATTTCCATTTTAATGTGAGCAGGAATATGTTTAGGTAGAATGATGGGCATAAACAATGTCCAAATGGAACATTAAATAGGAGTAGATACCTATAATATATGCTTACCTTGTAGTTGAATTTATCATCTGGTGAAGAAATAAGGTTAATCAATGTGGTTAGTGTGCCCATTTTCAGAAAAATTAAGCAGTAGTATTTTTTACTTGTAAAGCCCTTCTTTTCTCTGTCCCCTTGTGGCACTGAGAAAATGAGGCCTAGTTATAATGAACCTTAATAATCAAAATGATCAGAATGAAAAATCAGAATGAAACGTAAAATACAGTATGTTGCTGTTGCTTACAAAATACACAGTTAACACATCTCGAAGTAGTACTTTGTAACATTCCTTTTGAAAGCAGGAAATTATATTTTATCATAGTATTTTAGTGAAAGTATAGTTGTACCTAACTAGGATTCTACTGATTCTTCTCATTGCTAATGTCTTATAGGCTACAAATTAATATCTGTAGAGGAATTAATAACTTTATTGATTATTTTTACCCTAGAATTTCATTGTATGTATGAGATACCCAGTGGCTTAGTTTATTCTGAAATGGGTAGGAAATTGTCATATGTTCTCATCTGACACTTGTCTCATTTTGAGGCCCACTGGAGCTGCCATACATCTTTCCTATTACTTATCTTACATTTATAGCAAAAAGAAATTAAAGCATATCTTTTTATAAACAGGAGTGAAGATTTTAGGAAAATATCAATTTTATATCTTTGTTAATAAAATAAGACAAAAGTAGTAGAAATATAGATGTGTAATCATTTCTGAGTATCTTTATGGAATGATCTTAAGTTTGGAATATAGTTTTTTCAAGTAATGACATTTAAGTTTAACCTTGATTTAAAAAATGAACTTTTCCTTTATTTAAGGGTAATTCACAGGCAAACTAATTAAATTTGATAACCAGCTCTTCTGATACATAGAATTAGTTTATAATTTATAATTTATTTTGTTTACAAAATGTACTAAATGTGCTGAACTACTTATATATACTATGTGTGAATATGTATTGTATTTCCAAATTTTAAACAAGACTTAAATCTTCTACTTTTTTAAAGACGGAATTGGAAAATATTGAAGTGACACAAGGCATGTCAGCTGAGACAGCAGTAACTTTCCTCAGCCGATTGATGGCTATGGTTGACGTACTTGTATTTGCCAGCTCTCTAAATTTTAGTGAGATTGAAGCTGAAAAAAACATGTCTTCTGGAGGCTTAATGAGACAGTGCCTAAGGCTAGGTAAGTCTGTTAAGAATAACGGTGCGTGTTAAATAATTACCTACACATTACTTTTCTGATGTTCTGTGGTACATAAAGTATTGATGATACAAGTTAATGATTATGGAGTAGAGATATCACCTTGTAATTCCTAAAAATTGCTAAATTAAAATTATGGTATCTTCACATTGGAGATTTCATGAAATTGATCATCTTTAATAGATTATAATTTGAAATGAAGTCAAATATATTATGAGTTGTTTCAAAATCAATAGGACTATAACATTTTTCATTGAAATGATTGTAATGTGAATCCATTTAGGACTTGTTTTGGTAAACTAATACAAAGGTAGTTGTCCTGATCCACAAATGTGTCAGAAGACCAGTGACATAATTCGTACAAAGAAAATTTAGCACTGAAAACTCTTAGTAAATGTGGTTCAACTCCTTACATCCATTCTTACATGTTTTACCTTTCTTAGGGAGGAAATTTATTTATACTACTTAGTCTTTATAAGGGACCAGAAAGCTATTGTTTTTATATTTGCCTTAAAGCATGAATAGGACACAAGAAAGTAAGGCATTAGATAGGAAGGAAATTTCTGATGGATGCTTTTATTAACCATAATTTTAAAAATTGTACAAAAATTGGGGCAGCTGGGTGGCTCAGTCGGTTGAGCATCCAACTCTTGATTTTGGCTCAGGTCATGATCCCAGGGTCGTGGGGTTGAGCCCCATGTCCAGCTCTGCACTGAGCATGGAACCTGCTAGAGATTCTCTTTCTCTCCCTCTGCCCTTCTCCCCAGCTTGTAATCTCTGTCTCTCTAAAATAAAAAATAAAAAATAAATAATAAAATAAAATATAAACACAATACAATAAATCTATATGTGTGTAGTTTCAGGGGATACATTTTTTCTGATCCAGGGTAGGAATAATAACTTGCTTTAAGAATGATGGAATGAAACCTACTTTTTTGTTTGTTTTGCATTTTTAAAGATGGGCAGTCTAAGTGGAATCATTTCATAATCATTATAATGGAGAGATTGACCACACTGAGCTCTTTCTGACCCGTAACAGGTGTGGGATAATTTACTGTGGCCACCATGGACATATCCATTGATATTTAACAATAGCTGACAGAATGAACCTTGTGAGAAAGAGAAATTTTTTTAAATACCTAAGTATCTTAAAACCAGCATTTATGTGGTTATTCTGAACTTTCATATCTGAATATATTTCAAACCTTTACTACTAATTTCATTTTTATTCCAGTATTTCCAAGCGGAGTTGTTTTTTGGTCACCCATAGGAAAGTTTAAGTGATTAATAATGAAGCAAACAGTTATAAATCAATATGTGCTGTCTAGTTCTAAGCACTTTATACATATATTAATTCATTTAATCCTCACAGCTAAGGAAGCTAGCATATTTGAAGTCATTTTACATATGAGGAAGCTGAGGCAGGCATAGTCTAAGCAGCTGGCCCAAGATCACACAGCTCACAGGTGGCAGAGCCGGAGTCAAATTCAAATGGTTGGAGTCCATGAATACGACTGCTTAAAATACGTAAATAAGTAAAAAGCTCGTACTCAACGAATACTTATTGAGAAGGCTGCACATGTTCCCACCGCGCAGAAAGGTGGATATTGGGCCTCGGTTCTGCCTCTACTGAGGTAGCCTATCACTGCCTGAAGCGGGAGCTGTGCTCAGTGGAGTCTCCAAGTAGTCATGTTACAGGAAGAAGTCCTGTCAGTAAAAACAGCTTATCCAATGTGAACATGAAGTTTCAAAAAATCTGTACTGATTTGTGAAATTCAGAATTTTAAAGGATGGGGGGTGGATAGACTAAGGAAGGGATAAATTGGGAGCTTCAGTAATCTTGTTTCTGCAGCCGGTTGGTAGTATGTGGGTATGCTGTACTTATTTTTTAACCACACATGTGTTTTATATGTATTTTTCATTACTGTATTTGATAATTTCAAAACATGTCTGTTTAGTCTTGTTGACTTTAGGAACAATGAATGGAGATAAGGGAAAGAAATAAAGAAAAAAACCCAGCAACTCTTTTCAGCATGTCAGAGTCAACACTTTGTATTAATAATATGCTTTTGGTTTGTAAATAGTTTGTTGTGTTGCTGTGAGGAACTGTTTAGAATGTCGGCAGAGACAGAGAGACAGGGGGAGCAAATCTTCCCATGGTAGCAGTAAACCTCAGGAAGCTCCCCAAAGTGTGACTGCCACGGCAGCTTCAAAGGTAATTAAACGTTTTCTATGTTAAATATAATGTACCTTAAAGTTGTTTTTTTGTTTTGTTTTGTTTTTTTTAATACGAGAGAAAAGTGGCATGGTATTGCTTAATCACAGAGCAAGGATTTGGTCATCAGTAGGCTTTGGTGCTTGCTTTTCTTCTTCACAATTGTGTTACCAAGATTATTTAACCTCTCTGAGACTTAACACTTCTTGCTTAAATGAAGATACTAATAATTTCTACTTCATAGGATATTTATTAGGATATCAGTACACATAGCTCTGAAAGTTCTTAGTTATCACTGTTTTTCATAGTTAAAGGTATTTTCACAGAGCTGAATATTTGAATAACGTGTCTTTTAAATGGATATGTTTTTGGTGATAGATATTCTCATAATATGAAATATATATGTTGAATGCCCAGGAAATGAACGAATAGTGTATTTTGGAGTATACCAGTAATCCCCATTCTGAATTAGCTCTTTATCAATATGTTTCACTGACCCTTTGTATCACATCCAGAGTTTTATCAACGTGACCTTTAAGGTCCTGCATGTCTGACTCATGCTTACGTCTCCAACTGCAGCTGATACCCCCTTACCCCCTTGCTTTTACCGTTTTAGTCATGTGATAGACTTCATTTAGTTCATCAGAGGATTTTTTTTCCCCTTAGACTTTTTCATAGGTTCCCTTTACTTGAAGGGTCAGATTTTTCACATCTAGCTAAAGCCCATTCACCTCTAGCTTCAGCTTAAGTGCTACCCTTTGAGGAAAATGTTTTCAGATACACTTACTGCCACCCCTGCCTAGGGTAGTTTCCTCTGTTTGATATTTTCATAAAGCCCTGTACGTCCATTATTGCATCCTACGCTTGTAATGAGATATTTAACATTGACAAGCTAATTTTTCTGTGCAGTAAGTGAAGACATGAAGTAGTTTAATTCATTTAAATAGTTCTGTGGCTTCAAATTTCTGTATTTTTTAAGCAGAACAAGCACATATTTAGCATATCTGTATTGCAGCCTCTTTTTCACTTCTGTCAGAAAACATTCCTAAAATGATTAGACCATATTGTATATCAAGTCTCCAAAGCAGTCGCCGTTACTTAGAAAATTAAATATTAACACATCAGCAAGAATGTCTCATGTTATTTGTGTAGGCATAGTAGACTGTTAGTTGAGGGCAGTCTCGTACATCTTTGTAATTCCAGAGCAGGTATGTATAACATTGGCAATACTTTGTCAAAAGAGTACTAATTCTAGAATCAGACAGGTCTGAGTTTGTATTCTGGCTCTACCCCATAACAAGCGTTGTGACCTAAGATGAACTTCCTACTCTCCTGGGCCTGAGTTTTCCAGTCTTTAAAATGGATACAAATTTTAACTTTTTAATTTTAATTTTAATTTTTAGTTTACATCCAAGTTAGTTAGCATGTAGTACAATAATGATTTCAGTAGAATCCGGTGATTCATTCCTTATGTATAACACCCAGTGCTCATCCCAACAAGCATCTTCCTTAATGTCCCTTGCCCACTTAGCCACCCCCCACCCGCAACCCCTCCAGCAACCCTCAGTTTGTTCTCTGTATTTAAGAGTCGCTTATGTTTTGTCCCCTTCCTGCTTTTTGTATTATTTTTGCTTCCCTTCCCCTGTGTTCATCTGTTTTGTATGTTAATTCCACATATGAGTGAAGTCATATGATATTTGTCCTTCTCTGACTAATTTTCACTTAGCATAATACCCTCTAGTTCCAAAAAATTGGTACAAATCTTAATTTACAAAGTGTTTATATGAGCTAAATGAAAAGCAATAATGTATTAAAGTGTTTAGTAATTCCTGACACAGTGAACTTTCAATTAATACTAATCCCCTTCCTCTCTCTAGCAGTTAACCACTCTATACACTCGTGAAATGAATAAATAAATTAGTGTTTTTGAGAGCTTTGATCTTAAAGGATCTTAATTCACTAGATAATATGGAACTTTTCAAGACTGTCAAATCAAATATTACTCTGATTGTAGAATATGGAAAGAAAAGTCCAATGCAAAGGAATTTCATAGTAATTTAGTTGAGCTAGTCTCAGCTAATGTAAAGACCCTTAGCAATGAAAACTGGTTCATAAGTGATGGATAAAGAAATACTAGGGGAAATGGACTTGGTAAGAAAACACATGTTCTTGTGAGAATCAATGGACCTGGCTAATGAGGGTTTTTATTTTATTTTTTTTTTTATGTGACACTTTAGTAAGTAAACCATAGACAATTTTGATGAAATACTAATCTGTGTAGACTTGGGTGAGTCCAACATCTTCCTTGGGCCTCATTTTCTATACTTTGCAAAAAGGAGCAATAATACAAGTTTTGTCCATAAAGGAGTCTTTATAACGACCAAATTTGATTATGGATGTAGAAATACTTTATAAAATGGAAAATGATATATTTAAGTTGACATATTTATAATTTTTTCACTTATGCTATAAATTATGTACTTTTCATCTCTGCTGTGAACAATGTATTATTGTTTTAACCATTTTTGTGATAAGTGTTACTAGCTTATCATTTAGATGATATAGCTGAGGCTCCGAGAGGTTAAGTATCTTACCTAAGGTCATATGGCTGATAAGTTTTGGAATTATAATGGAAACCAAATAACTATGCCATGTTCTTTTCACTATCCTGTGCTGCAGAGGAATCAAACATCTTAATTTAGGAATAAAATATCATATTGAGGTATATAGAGGATTAGAAGGAAGCGTATTCACTTTTAATTAAAGTAACAACAAATTATTCTATTTGCAGGAATCGTATTTAGTACTCTATGTATATGATCTAAGTTAATTCATACTTTTCTTAACATACAAATGAGTGTAAAAGTACTAGATTGAATTTCAGGAAATCTGGCCCTCTCACTAGTTTGCTATGTGATACATTACATAAAAATTGTCGGTTTTTGTATCTTCAGCTGTGAAAAGGATTCTTGGTGGTTATAATTTTAAGTTTTTATTTAAATTCTATTGAGTTAAATATAGTGTAATATTGGTTTCAAGAGTAGAATGTAGCGATTCATCACTTACATATGACACCCCGTGCTGATCACATTAAGTGCCCCTCTTAATCCCTATCACCCATTTTAGCTCATCCCGGCTCACCTCCCCTCAGGAACCCTCAGTTTGTTCTCTATCATTAAGAGTCTCTTATGGTTTGTTCCCCTCTCTTTTTTTCCCCTTTCCCCTATGTTCATCTGTTTTGTTTCTCAAATTCCACATATGAGTGTCACAGGGTATTTGTCTTTCCCTGACTGACTGATTTCACTTAGCGTAATACACTGCAGCTCCAAGGTGCTTATGATCTTTAATGTCTTTCAGCTTTAATATCAAGACTGTGGGTTTTCGTAGATTGTAAAATGTTTATACATATAAAAGCTCATGCAATGTAATAGAGTAATCTCATGTATTATAAAAGAATGATGGATAAATGAACCCAGTGACTCAAAAAGATATATTAACTAGAGATTGAGAAAGTGAGGCTCAGAAAATGTTAGTAACAAGCCCAAGGTCACACAGCAGAGTTTCAATCTTACTGTTCTTCTAAGTGTATAGTGGTAGCAATGGTGATGAAGAACAAGAACATTACTAGTAAGTGAAACTGTGACAAGGGCAGAGAGGAGAAGAGAAAAAGTGTCTTGTAATAGAGTGCTGTTGTCGATAAATGTTACTCGATGTGTAAAGAACGTGATAAAGAATGTGGTTAGTGCAATACTAGAAATTGCACTCCTATATGAGTTTCTGTATTATGCTATTTTCTTTTTAACAATTCTCTTTCTTTTTTAAGACTCCATTAGAAAGTGTTCCAGGTAACCTTTCTCCTATTAAGGATCCTGATAGACTTCTTCAGGATGTTGATATTAATCGCCTTCGCGCCGTCGTCTTTCGGGATGTGGTAAGTTATACCTGCTTGATTTCCCAGGAAAAAATCTTCTAATGTTATTTGTGTAAAATCATTTCAATTTTATAAGAAAGCTGCAATTACAACCAGACGTCCTAATGTCAGGAATTGTAGGTTTAGAACATACTTCTGATTGTAAAGTGATTGAGCCTTTGCTTTCTCTGAAAGCTTATGGATACATCATTTTTTTTAGATGATGTGAAATTTTGATTTAGATTGTGTATATACCAAGACCCTAGGGATAACCTTGAAAAATTATGATTCATTTTATGTTGAATCACCAGCTTTCTCTTTTAGTATTCCTTGCTCCATCTCTAGGTACTGGCTATTTTGTTGTTCTCAATGTTCCTTGTCCTATGGATAAAAAAAAGATTAATTTATTAAGGTGTTCATGGCAATTACTTTTTTGAGGGGCAGTAATTTTTAAAATTTTTTTTTTCAACGTTTATTTATTTTTGGGACAGAGAGAGACAGAGCATGAACGGGGGAGGGGCAGAGAGAGAGGGAGACACAGAATCGGAAACAGGCTCCAGGCTCTGAGCCATCAGCCCAGAGCCCGACGCGGGGCTCGAACTCACAGACCGCGAGATCGTGACCTGGCTGAAGTCGGACGCTTAACCGACTGCGCCACACAGGCGCCCCGGGGCAGTAATTTTTAAAAGAAGATCTTCATTTTAAAAATGTAGAATTTTTTGAGTATTTGAGTTACAAAAGTAGCTTTATAAAGCTTAAGGAAAAGATAGCCCATGGAGATAGTTTCTTGGAACATCCCAATTATATGATCTCTTACTCAAGTAAAAATAAGATTGGCCTTTTCACAAATCACATAGAAACATATATAGTATTTCGCAGCAGACTCAGTATTGACAGTACTTCTTACTATAGTTATTATGTTCCAGCACTTTGGATTCTATTTTTATTTTAATTGATGATTTATGAGACACATAAAAAAGTTTCTATCTTAAACTTATACTTAATAAATTGGATGAGTACTAGTTAAAACATATTTAAGTCACACAGCATAATACTACATGGTAGGAATACACAACAGAAAAACTGTCACTCTCTTTAATGTGTATCAGTTCTTATAAATCACTAGAGAAATTATAAGCATACCAACAGAAAATTAGAGAGTGGACATAAAATAAGAAAGATAAGGTAACAAAGGTAACAAATATATGATGAAGTCAGTATCACCAATAGTCAAAACAATGCAAATTAAAATAACAGTGAGATATTTTTACTATTAGACAAATTTTAAATAATTTAAAATTTTTGTTATTTATTTTGAGAGAGAGAGAGAGGGAACAGGGGAGGGGTGGAGAGAGAGGGAGACAGAGAATCCCAAGCTCAGAGCCCAGTGTGGGACTCGAACACATGAACTGTGAGATCATAACCTGAGCCAAAATCAAGAGTCAGACACTTAACTGATTGAGTCACCCAGGCAAATAAAAACATTTAAGTAATAATAATATCTAGCATTGCAAGGGTACATTGAAACATGCTGTGTCATGTATCACTGGTAGACATTTAGATTGGATAAACGTTCTGAATAGTTCTCTTCCATCATCAGGAGTTAAAACTCTTACAAATACTGATGCCCTGTGACCCATTGGTTCTACCGAGAAGTTGTCTGACTTCATGTGCTCATCAGAGATGCCTACAGGAAAATTGGCGACAATACAAATATCTAACAATAGAGTTTCAGCTTAATAGGTCATAGTATTTTCATGCATTGGGAGGCTATGCAACCATTGAAATCATATTTTTGAGGAAAATTTAATACATAGAAAAATGGCCATGATATATTTTAAGGGAAAGCAGCAGTATACAAAAGTACTTATATTACATAAGTACTGCATTTTTATGTTGAGTGTATGTACATGCACTTGTGCACCTTTAAAAAATAAAAGACTAGAAAAAACATACCAAGTGCTACTAATGATTATCTCCAGTTCTAATTTTATACTTTATTCTTTTATACTTTTTCTGTGTTTTCAAAAGTTCTAGAATAAAACTATATTTCTTTGTAATTAATAAATAATAAAATATTTTTTAATGGAGTTAAAATGAATGATAGCATAAAAACCATGATGTACGAGTCTCCCAATAATCTGGACTCTAATCCAGACTTGGAAAAAAATCACTAACAGGTTAGTCACTTAGACATGAGAATTATCCTGAAAAAATATGCTATGGAAAGAATGTTTTTCTCATGGAGAACGATTAAAATGGAGCAAATTCTCATCTCTCAGAGGCACGCTCAGACCTAACATACAAGGGCTTTATGTTAAGTGCGACATTGTGTTTAAATTGTTAGTAAGTTCTGCATTAGGTTATTGTGGTAGATTGTGATAATTTTCTTTAAAACTGCTAGATGTTAAATATGTCAGATAACCCAGCAGTGGTGCCTAGCTTTTTCTTCCTGAAGGACGGGAATTAAGCGTTTCCAGATGTACCTTCCAAACATCATCAAGGTTATATAACTTGTGTTTGTTAAGTTTATAATGTGTTTCAGACACTTAATATAAATCCTAAACTTTCATTTAAGGGCTAAAAGAAAGTTAAGACTCATAAGCATTAAGATCACACAGGTAGTATGAGGTAGTCAGAACCCTAAGGTAGAGCTCTCCAAAACATTCTCTGTTTCATCACCATATTTTTATTTATTTGTCTATTTATTTACTTATCTATTTATTTATCTATTTATTAAGTTTTTATTTAAATTCCAGTTAGTTAACGTACAGTGTAATATTAGTTTCTGGTGGACAGTATAGTAATTCAGCACTTTAATACATCACCTGGTGCTCATCACAAGTGCCCTCCTTAATCCCTGTCACTTATTGGAAGTGTTTGACAATTGATATATTTTAGGCTCAATTGTAGATATAATGCCAAGAATTCTACTTGACTTTTGACATTTATGTGAATCAGTAGTCATTTTTAGTTGCCTTAATTTCAAAAACAAATGAGGCCAAAAATTAGGTTTTTAAGGAAAAGTATGTAGATTATATATATGCATGTAATATGTAATAGATGTGAATTTATCTTGCTCTTGTCTGTTTTCCATGATGAAGACATTGCTGACTTAAACTCACATAAACTGTTCAAATCTAGGTAAAAGTGCCATGTGGCAAAATTTGCTATGTGGTAGGAAAATAATTAGGCTTTAAAAATCAGTTTTGTTTTCAGTGTTTGCCAATAAGCTAAAATTTGAAAGGAAATTCATTACGCTTCTCTCTCTCTCTCTCTCTCTCAAGCCTAGATTCTGCTAGGTCACTTATATACAAATTATATAAACTGAAGTAATTTTAATCCTTTAAAGTTGAATTAGATAGTTTTAGCATCCTGGTTGAAGCATTAAAATTTTTAAAGGATTTCAGAGTTAATTATGTTACTAATTCAGGATTGAATAGTGGAGAGACCGATTTCTTAAGCAGATGGGAGAAACATAAGAGTTTATGTCTTCATAATAATAACATATGTAGGAAAGGCAATTGATTTGTATAAAAATTGAGTTACTCTCCAGATGTTTAGCCTCTATGTCTGTTGTGCTTGGTTTTTAAAGACAGAACTGGGAATAAGCAGCACAATTGGTTTGCAGATCTGGATTTGAAAAGAAAAGGCAACTGTTTTCATGCCATACATATGGGAGATTTGTATGGGACACTTGGCTAAGACAACACTTCACAGTATCTGTTGTTTGCAACTCCCCAACTTTGTAGTTGACATGCATTCATTCCACACATGCCTTTTAATTGCCTGGTACTGAGTTTCCAAGTGGTGGAAATGTATCCTAGAATATTACAGTTCATCACAGCTTGAGCTGTGTTTGAATTCATTCCTGGTCAGTATCCTCACTGATCTGACTGCACTTCAGTTTCCTTTACAATACTGTTTAAGTATTTGATTTTGCCCATTCTCTATGTATTTATTCCATCAGCATTATAATCACAGGGTATGTATTTCACACACTTTATAAGAAATTATGTCTCTAGAAAAGTTGTCACTCACAGAATATGAAATAGTAAATTCATAATATTTCAGAACAAATTTAATCTGTTTGGGTTGTTTTCTCTGTTAGCGGTGCTAATTCCATTTCATAGTATTATTAGTAAATATGTCTTGTTTGCTTTCTTTTCTGACAAATGCCCATAAATTCTGAATCTTGTTGGCATTGGTGCTTAAATGGATTAATAAATATTAAGTGCCTTTAATGGAGTTTCTAGACTTTAATGCATGTTTGCTTTCCTTATTTGTATCATACTATTTCTTACCTGCTATCTGTGGGCCACAGTAATCACTGGCAGTTTTGGTTTGAAGTGTTAGTTTTACTAGCTTAGAAAAAAGGCTTTATAACCATTTACATTTGATTCCTTAGATATAGTCTAATTTGAAAGTGGTATTAGAGGTTATAATTTTTGCCCTATGAGATATTTACCTAGGCCTTCAAGGTTCTGTGTAGCTCTTTATATTTCACAAAGCAACTTGTAGAGTTATCTTCTCTACTAGACTGCAGTCTGCTTTTTTAAATCTATTGTCTATGTATCTTAACTTGACCCATTGTTTTCTGATCTTTTACCAATTTGTTGCAGTCCTCTTTAAAAACTCCCATTTTGTCATTGAGTTTTTGAAGTTCAGAGCCTCAAATATTGGCAGTTTTTTAGAAGTCATTTTTTTCTAGTGCAAAATAGTGGGATTGTCACTTTTTAAAAGTTTATTTATGCAGTCAAAGGTTGCATTAGCTTTTCTTAAGCTGCCATATCATACTTCTAACTCATATGGAGCTGGTATAAGTCCACATTTTCTGTTCCTCCATTGTTTATGTTTCCCCTGTTTTGTACTCATATACTCTCCTAAGGTAGGATTGTACATGCATCTCAATTATAATTTATTCTATTCATTTTTTTTAAGTTATAACATTTGGAACTGTTGATTTTTATCCAGATAGTATTCTTTCTAACCTTATACTTTCTGTATATTTTATAAATGTACATACTCTGTTATAGAAGTAATGGATAGTAAAGTTTTGTGCCATATTCAGCAAAAGTTTAAAATTCTTATTTTTTAAATTAAATTTCAACCTATAACTCAGATGATATATTCCTGGAGTTTTGTATTTATACTTAAATGATACTAATTACATAATAATATATGTTTAGAAGTTGTAATAAAAATTAAATGGCATATTTTGCCTCCATAAAGAAAACGAAATAGGAGTAGTTTCTTACACTCTAATAATTTTTAAAAAATTGAATGTCAGAACTGCCTTTTCCTTTCACACAGGATGATAGCAAGCAGGCACAGTTCTTAGCTCTAGCTGTTGTTTACTTCATTTCGGTTCTGATGGTTTCCAAGTACCGTGACATATTAGAACCCCAGCGAGAGACTACAAGAACTGGAAGCCAACCAGGTAGAAACATCAGACAAGAAATAAATTCGCCAACAAGTACAGGTACTGTTTTTTTTTAATTATTTGAACTTTTATCATCATTTATCTCTTTTTGTTTCATTTTTACTTCCAGATATAAACTAGTCCTACTTATAAAATCCCATCACACATTTGTAAGTAGGTGGTATATAAATGCCAATTTCATTTTCCTTAATTCTGCAAAAATGTGTGGATTTCCATGATATTAACTGATTCTCATTTTGCCAGTGCAGTTTGGTTTTAGTGTTTTCCACCTATTAATACAAACCATTTATTACTTAATATGCATATAACTGATATATTTTTAATGTATTACTTTTTAACTCTTATGAACATGAAAGTAGGAGATCCTTATAGAGTAAAGACCTTGAATAAGCCAAAATTTAAATCTTTAGAGCCAAATTTAAAGATAGCTTCTTTCTTTCTCTCTCTCTCTCTCTCTCTCTCTCTCTCTCTCTCATTCTCTCTTTCTTTTGCTGTGTATAGTTACTTAAGGATATAAATTTTTATCAGAAATTCATAGCAAGCAAACATATATTCTAAACTTTATACCAAAGTTGTTTCAACTAAAATCAAAGACTTACAGACAACAAGGAACCATCTTGGGTCATATTGTCTTTATTATTTGGCAAAGATGTTTATGGTGTGGGAGTTCTTGCATTATCAGCTTTGCCTACTCTGCTTAAAAATGATAAACTAACATTTTAATATCATGGGGTGCCTTCTGTCAGTTGCATTTCCTGCCCTGTGTTTATATCAAGGTTGTTTCTTGGTTGTTTGCAGTGTATCCTTAGTAACCTAGTGGTTATTTCATGTACCACTGGATTAATTTGTAGTTGAGATTGTCTTTCCTAAATAAATGCGTATGATATATAAAGAAAATGGATATTTTACAAAGTGAGTAGAAATTAGTGGTCAAATCTCTGCATCTTGTTTTCCATGAGCATATCATATCTCCTTTTACCTTGACATTGTGGAAATATGGATTATGTTTTAGCTATTATACTTTATTTTTGCATGCTAAATTTACTTTGAATACATAAACATGACACTATTTCATTGCAGTATACTTTTAACTTTATTCTTCAAATTAAACATTATCCTACCATTCCATTTTATGTCTTTTGACCATTTAAAACACTAAGACATTATGTTAACCAATTTTTTCTTCATTTTTAATGCATCCATGTCAGCTTTATATGTATAAAACAAGCAATATTTTAGTCAGTCTTCCAGTTGTGATTTTGTGTGTGTGTGTGTGTCTTTCTGTATGTTGCCAAAATTGCTCTACTTAACAAGTGTATGATTTCTCCTTTCTCTTAATATGTAACCTCTTTCCTTCCCCCAGAGATGCAGTCTTTATTTCTAGTACTGTTTGCATGTTGCAGTAATTCAGAGTTGTCATGGATCTCCAGTGGACCATGTTGCAGGTTGTTACATGCTGGCTCAAATTTGATTCCATGATTTTCTCTACAGTTGTGGTCATACCATCTATCCCTCATCCAAGTTTGAACCATGGATTCCTTGCCAAGTTAATTCCTGAGCAGAGCTTTGCCCACTCATTTTACAAAGGTAATACTGACCTCATCTCCTGACCTGTTTGGGTATTCATGTTTCATTAATTGTTATACAATAAATATCCATAATGTAATTGTTTACAAATAAGTATACACCTCAGGTTTCATGGAGATATGATATGTTGTGTTTATATTTGGCTATTGGGAGCAAAATATAATTTGTATATTTGTATTTCATCACATTTCTTTAAAATATCATCTGCAAATTAAGGATACTTAACTATATATATAATAATATTCACGGTGGTACCATTGTCTGGAGTATGCAGAAAGTCATACCTTAGTAGTGGGACTAATTAGCCCTAAAATGAAGGCTACTCTAGTCTCAAAAGAAAAAAAAAGCTGAAAAACAAGACTTGAAAGCATCAAATTGATCTAGAAGTTACTTAGCTTTCTATCAGAACAAAGTTCCACTTTTCTTTGAAGAAATACAAAATAATTCTTCAACAAACTACATAAAATTCAATGTTAAGCATTCCATAAAAAATTTTAAACATGTAAAGAAGCAGGAAAATATAATACATAAGCAAGAGAAAAAAAAATCATTCCATAGAAACAGATTCAGAAAGGACAGAGATGGCAGAATAAGCAGATAAAAACATTCAAACAGGTATTATAAGTATGTTCAAGATGTTTGTCAGTCTAAAAGGAATAGTGAATGTCATGAGAAAAAATAGAAGATTTTTTTTAAAGAAGAAGTTGGAAGTTTTAAAGGTAAAAAATAAAATAGCTGATGTGATGTCTCTGGGTAACATTAACATGGGATTACTCTCTGCAGAACCAAGAACTGTGGTAAACCAAATTCGGCTCCCTGCCCCACCCAAGATTTTCCCATGCGTAATTCCATGCATAATTCCTGGGACGGTGAATATGATGCATTTTGTTCCTGTGACCATGTTGTATTACATAGCACAATTGTTTTTAACAGATAGTAATTATCCATATAGTCCTGACCTAATGACATGAGCCCCATAAAGACAGAAAAGGAAGTCAGAACGACTCAGTTTAAGAGTGATTTGACTTGAGGGAAGTCCTTTATTGCTGAGATGAGGGTGACTACAGTTCAAAGACCTGAGATCACTTTGTAGGACCTTAGGAGCACTACCTGGCTGACAGTCAGCAAGTAAGTGGGGGACTTGAGCCTACAGCAACAAAGAACTGAATTCTGCCAATAACTTGAGTGAGTTTAAAGAGGACCTCGAGCTCCAGATGATACCATAGTTCAATATATACTATACATTGTCTAATAATATGGAAGACCAACTTGTAGAACAAATAAAGCAGTGAAGAATTTTTTGTTACAACATGATGAATGCACAGAATTATTTTTATAAATGTGCAACCTTTGAACATCATGATGAAATAAAAGAAAAATTCTTTCTTTTCATCTTTATTGCTTACAAACATCTAGGTATGAACTAAGAAGAATTAGATTAAGTTAGATTAGATTAAAAGTCTGGAGTTTGTTTTGTATAGAAATGTATTTACAAAGGTTTCGATGTAGTGACTGGAGGCTATTCTGGAATAGTTATCCACATTAAGAGCCTACATCAGAATATCAATGCACAGTTTTCTTTATCAAGGATACTTTCTTGTGAAAACAGTATTAGTTGAATGGCACAGTGTTCTTAGCAGCATAATAAAATTTTGAATAATTTTAAGACTGATGTGATAAATTTGCTATTTTCTTCACTATGTGATAATATGGAAGCTGATCATAAGTAACTGTTATTGAATGCTGTGGTACAATGCATATTAAAAGGAAAAGTCCTATTGATGATGTTGGAACTACAAATTCAACTCTTGGTGTTTTTACAGGATAAGAAAGCAGCCTGAGTCCACTCTTAAGAGACTAGTAGGACTGGCTGCATTGTCAGACCTGTAAAACATTTTTAAGGAGTTCAGTATTTACAAAATGGGGGATGATTGCAATATGTTTTTTAAGCAGAGAAAAGATCAAAGGGCAAAACGTTAGAATCTTGGAAGTATACAGTTTTATGACATTTTTAATTATTTAATAATTATTATTTAATATGATTATCAATGAAAGTATCTTAATCTTCAAGGATGATCTTGATTTTGCTCATCCTTGAAAATCTATCTCCTAACACATTATGTATATGATAGAATATTTTGTGTGTAATTTTCCACCAGAAAAAGATTTGTACATAAGAGACTCATGGAACTGGGATCCATTTCTTTTATTGAAATATAATTTATTACTGATTATAACACAAGATAAGTTACTGGAACTGGGTGGACATTGATGAGAATTGAGAGTATATTTTGAAAAAATAGCATTTCTAGTTTCATTTTGGATGAAAGTTTAAGATGAGTATCCTGAGCTCTCTGACTTTTCATTCCATGAATATACCTTTGTGACACTACTTTCTGTACTCTGTGTGATATTAAAATAAAACAAAAACAGGGTAGCTGTGTGTTATTCCCATGAATAATTCCCATTATTGCCAGTTCAGCTTGGATTAGATAAATTAACAAGCAAAAGCTCAGTGTCACATTATCAACTTTAAATATTTATATTCCCAGTATTTATATAAAACATATTTATATAGGCATCTCTTTTGGGGAATCACTCTTTTACTTAAAACTTTTTCATTTGTTTATGATGTGTGATGGAAAAAAGTCACAAGTATAATAACATTTATTTGTATCGATCACCTATACATACACTTTCAGTGAACAACATGGACAGTTTATTATTTTCTTTTTCCCAATGTTATCTTTGTCCTGATTAAATTGAAGTTCATATTTTGTCTATGGAGTCAAATAAAAACATTTGAGCTTTTATTTTGTGTACTTAATTTTTAAAATTATTTTTAATTCATTTTCAAATGTCAATGATGGTTTTTAAAAAAGGAAATTTTCACAGATAGTTTGAGAAGTACTGATCTGGACTACTCTTCAACTCCAACACACTTCACTTTCTTCTTTCAGCTCATTATTGAGCCTTTTAAAATATTCTGAACTAGCTCTTTCTGGCCCCCCTCTCTCTCTTTTTCCAATCTTTGATATTCCCTTAGTTCAAAGTCTTACCCCTTATTGGAGCATTGCCATGGTTTCTTCATTGGACTTCTGTAGTCATTTAGTCTATTACTGATGACAATAAAAAAATAACACTAACGTATATAATAAAGTAATGAAATGTAATTTATATTTAATATACATTCCTATAATAAATATTTTCTAATATATAGGAAGTAAAATAAAGCAGTTTTTCTTTCTAAAAATTTTAAAGGCATCCTATAATTTAAGAGACAAAGTTAAAATATTTTAACTTGTAGTGGACCACTGCTTTAGTTTTAATTTACCTGGATTCTATAATTGTCTCTAAAGTAGTTTCTTCGTCTCTTACTGATCTTTATTCTATTTTTACAATTTTGCTGCAATTTGTTTTAAAATGTAAATGATACTGTTTCTTGCTTTCTTTTTCTTTTTTTTTTTTTTTCACTTAAAATTTTCTGGTGGCATTTAGGGTAAAAATACGGGCTTTGGATAGTAATATGACTGCTGATTATCTTTCCAAGTTTATCTCATGTTATTCTTCCATTTTCTCACTATACTACTATAATCAAACTATCTTTTCATTCCTTAATTATAACCATTTTCCTGACTCTTTGTATTTTTGTATCTTTGTATTTTGGTTCTGGTGTTTGGCTCTGTCTTTTCCCTATTTTTTGCATCCTTGGTGCGTGTTCATCCGTCAGGTGTCTCCCTAAACATGCCCCCCTCATTGATGCCGTACCTGACTGCTGTACCTGAATAGTTTCCTCCCCGTGACCAACCTGTTCTCTACCACCACATCCTCTTTATTTCCCTTTTTGCACTTACACAATTTATTTCTTTGTTTAGTTGTTTATTGGAATGTGTACTTCAAGCGAGTAGTCCCTGACACATAGCATGGCACTTGGAAGTAAATATTGAGTAAGTTTTTGTTTAGTAGATGAGTAAGCCAGTGAGAAAGCTAAACAGTTTTTTAAAATTTTGATATTGATGATAGCCATAAAATGTATTTCATTATTAAGCATGCTAAAAACAGAGGCAAAAAACTTTTATTGATAACTTGACCTAGAAGATTAAGAAGCTTTATATTACTCATTTCACTATAGGATTAATAAGAATAAATTTAATATTTAGGTGAACTTATAAATAAATATATTAGTTTTCCTCTAACAGTTCATTATTAGGGAAAGAATTAACACCAGGAACAAAATAGTTAAGATAATGTAGTACTGGTAAAAGAACAGGCATATGGCATGAATGATCTATAAACACGCTGGAATTTGTATGAATGTTTCTTATGGTATAAATATATTGCATATAGTATTATGTATTATAAATACAACTTTCCTAATCAAATAGAAAAAGAAATATCATTTGGCAAATGGTGTTGAGATTACCAAATTGGCAACTATTTGAAAAAAATTAATTTATATCCTTATCTCATTTATTATGCCAGATAAACTTCACATGCACTAAATTTAAAGGTAAAAATGAAACTGAAAATAATTAAAGAAAATTAAAGTTAATATTTGTGTAAAAAACGTGTCTTAAATTATAACATCAGAAACTGAAGTTCAAAGTAAAAGATACGACTAAATAAAAGTTTTGTATATCTGCATGTCGAAAATGTTGACAAAATTTAAATCAAATACAAACAGGAGAATTTTATATGATAAAAGTTAATAACTTTAATGATTAAAAAGCTTTTATAGATCAACTAAAAGAATGTATCACACTAAGGGAAACATATAGAAAACATCAAACAGTTAACAAAAGAAAATTAAATTACACTACAGATAAGAACAATTTAAATCTAATAATCAAATAAAAATATATTAACAAAAATATTAACAAAACTTTTCAAATTTGGCATAATTTGAAAATTTGGCAAAATTCTGAAGGGTTAAAATGCAAATACGTGCACTTTACACAGCACAAAAATGTTTATAACCCTTAAGCTGGTAATTTTACTTT